CTGTAATTTATTTAGAATTTTCGTTTTTTTCAGTATCGAAGTAGTATGAATCTATCACCGTTGAACGCCATATTTTAATGTGGCCGCTGAAAGACCTTGTCAGTATCTGTGGCAATTTTCATACTCAGGTCTATTTTAGCGTCATCAGCGAAGGATGACATTAAACTATGGCTTGTAGTTCTCTGTCTTCTATTAGGATAAGAAAAAATAACGATGCGAGGCCAGTACTTAGTGAGACGGAGCTTCAAACCATATTTTCTGTTCTGTTCTGTTACTATCTTTACCTCTTGTTCTAATACTACCTGGCTCTACTGTTTTAAAGTTTCAATTTACATGGTATTATTACTTCTATATCGTAGGATCAAGTATATTAACTTGATCAGCGGTAGTAACAGCAAAGGATAATCCACATTAGCATTAACCTGAAGCAGCGAGGACCAGCGGTGGTGACACATAAAGCCTCACACAGGATATTAACAATTCCCTTCCCATCACCCTCCACACACCCACCCACAACATGACCACTACTCCCTTCATCCAAGTACGTGCTCACGCGCGCACGAATCACAGTCCAGAACTTTCCCATTTAGCATGCCATACAAATACTCCATAATAGGTAAGATTTACCCGATCCTGGTTTCGAGAGATACTTCTTCAGCCCGGTTTATGTAATGGGCTAAAATAATTACGTTAGACTTCCCAGGTGTTAGCAGGGCTAGTTTTTGAAGAGAGAAGACAAAAAAGCCTCGGCTAGGCTGTGATTAAAGCCTCTGCTTGGAAAAGGTAATCCTTAAGACAATTTCCGAAAAACCCGCAGCCTACATGAAAAACAGCATAACCAATTGGCTACAGTCACAGACGCATCTTCAAACGTTGCCACTTCGAAATAATTTCCAGTATATTACATAGTGAAGGCGACCACCAGTGACGCCCGGCCCAGTCAGGCTGCCAGCACCTGTGTTCATTTATAACACACTATCCTCAACCCTCCACTTGCCTTCCTATATGTACCGATACTGCCACTCACTAGCCTCATGGTATGTCATGTCCATTACTGTCTACTTTAGATATGACTATTACTGCCGAAATAGTATAATACACGTAGGACAGAGCTAACACACCAACAACTACAATATCAAAATCAACTTGGATGTTGGCATCACATATGTGGCTGATGCTAATATCCCTTGTATCGATTGGTGTGGTGACAATGGTGTTTTAATGAATAATGTGGTGATTGTGGTATTGTGGCTCCTGCCGTGTTGGCTCTGTCCTACGTGTAACAGTATATAATACTACGGGGTATTGGTTCTATGGTACAACAACATATGTGATATCTGCACACAAGCCACTATAGTCTCGACAAACACATCAGCCATCACACTCTGCAAACACACTAGGTATGGGCGCCATTGCCAACATCACATCATCCACCACAGTCCCAACATCAGCACCCCATCCACTACAGTCCCAACATCAGCACCCCATCCACCACAGTCCCAACATCAGCACACCATCCACCACAGTCCCAACATCAGCACATCATCCACCACAGTCCCAACATCAGCACCCCATCCACCACAGTCCCAACATCAGCACACCATCCACCACAGTCCCAACATCAGCACACCATCCACCACAGTCCCAACATCAGCACACCATCCACCACAGTCCCAACATCAGCACACCATCCACCACAGTCCCAACATCAGCACACCATCCACCACAGTCCCAACATCAGCACGCCATCCACCACAGTCCCAACATCAGCACACCATCCACCACAGTCCCAACATCAGCACCCCATCCACCACAGTCCCAACATCAGCACACCATCCACCACAGTCCCAACATCAGCACACCATCCACCACAGTCCCAACATCAGCACACCATCCACCACAGTCCCAACGTCAGCACAACAGTCACCACAGTTCCTACGTCAGCGCAGTGGACGCTGTAAGCGTCATCGGTCAGTCGGAAAGGGCTTCCTGTCCCTGACAACGGGAAACCATAAACAAGCAAGCCACCAGAGACCAATAAACACGCAAATCACAAAGTCTCAACAAACACACCAGCCACTATAGTCTCGATAAACACACCAGTCACTATAGTCTCGACAAACACACCAGCCACCATGTTCTCGACAAACACACCAGCCACTATAGTCTCGACAAACACACCTGCCACTATAGTCTCGATAAACACACCAGCCACCACAGTCTCGACAAACACACCAGCCATCATAGTCTCGACAAACACACCAGCCACCATAGTCTCGACAAACACATCAACCACCACAGCTCAATAAACAAACATATCTGAATCTGTCCAGATCTGTCCAGATCCCAATTTTAAACAAGCTTTGAGAAAGGATATAGGTAAATACTGATTAGGCAATGTAATTGTCGGGCCTTGGCCCTAGAGGGCCTAGACCATGAAACAAGCTGCCTGGGAGCGTCACTCAAAAAACTATTGGACACTGCTGAACACATTCTGAGGAAGAAACTACTGCCAGATTGATCAGGAATGTACCTTTTGGTGGGCTATCTAGTTCCCTCTTGAACACAGAGCTTAATAATGCCACTTATGTTTAGAGGACGATGACAATTCTTAATGTTTAATAGTACTTATTTAGCATTACTTATGAAAGGGGATATTTTGGACATTAGGAAAGGCCTCCCTGGTTTCCTAAGGAATTAAGCCCTCTCAATAATGTATAGACTAGAGGGAGATATAGTTAAAGCCAATAATGCATTCAAGAGCATCGAAAGTAGACACAAGAAACAGAAGGGTCGGGTGTCACTGCATTATATATATATATATATATATATATATATATATATATATATATATAATGTGTGTGTGTGTGTGTATGATAGTGTCAGACCACTGAGATAGAATTGGAACAGGAATTTCCTTAAGTACTTTCGTATATTAATACATCTTCAGAAGGAATGATTTTCAAAATCATTCCTTCTGAAGATGTATTAATATACGAAAGTACAGTACATAAGGAAATTCCTGTTCCAATTCTTCTTCGTCGTCTGACACTGTCACATTTTCACATTTTTCATCATGTGTTAATTTTCGTGATTTACACACACACACACACACACATATATATATATATATATATATATATATATATATATATATATATATATATATATATATATATATATATATCCTAGACCCTAGAGGGTACAAACGGCACTCTTAAAAATTGTATATCTCTCACACATATATAGTATACAGGAGTTGTAAAATCGTCTGTTACAATCCCCACTGATTTTGTATTTTATGTCTAGCCCAGTTATTCAAGATTGGTTACAAAAGACGTCCATAGTAAATTGTCAGAGTTGTAGATGTCTGGCAGGAACCATAAATTCGGTATGCATTACCTCCAATATGCCACACTGAAGCATTGGTAAAAGTAGCTGGCAGCTCTTGGCTATCTGGATGTTTTGTGAGCCTTGAACCCAGATACTGTGCTTGAGAAAGCTTTTGACATCTACACTCCAAAAGCCAAGGATCTCTGATGAAATGTTAAAAAAAAAAAATATGCCGATTTTCAAGGTCTCTGTACCTTGGTCCAACAGCCTGGTGAACCAAGCTCTCACGAGTCAAGCCTGGCCTCGGGCCGAGCTAGGAGAGTAGAACTCTCAAAACCCCATCAAGCAGGTATCTAGCAGGTATGGGGCTGAGCTACCAGCATGTCCAATACTGATATCTACGTTGGTATCAGTCAATGTATCAGCTTACATCCCATGTGTTGTAAGGTTTCAGTGACATCCCAACTGGGTGAAGTTAGGCTCAATCTTGATATCATTGATTTTTGCTGTTCCTTAGCTGCCCTTTCTTTTGTAGAACACTATACAGACCGTACACGAGAGCTTGTGCCTCGTTGCAAATAACACCTATATATAATATATTAGCCTATACACAATCTTCGTAAGTATATAAGGCGACGCCCAAATATGCTAGCATAATCACTACACACGACTACACTCGATCTTCCAGCTTGTTTTTCACGATTGAGGTGCTTTTGTTTTGCCTGGTTCCAAAGTCTTAGTCTAAGGCTATACGAATGAATGTTAGCCAGCTTTGCGACGCCGCTAATGTATCTTGTTATTTTTGTCCATTCTATAGTCGACCTCTGGTGATGAAAGCTACAGATACAACTGTAGCTGTAAAATAACAGTATTAGTATAGACGATACTTGTAAATAAAAAGGCAAGTATCCTGTTGACTTCACTGTTTACATTTTCTCAATGCTCCGTTTATTTTTGGTTCTATTAACCATACCTTTCCACAAATGGATTTAACAATGTCCATTTTACCGAGCTGGTAGCTCTTGTATTATTTTTCGAAATTTATTTGGTCATAACTGAAGTATGTGTTTTCTGCAGCCCCGCTGATTGTTCTCTATGAATTTGTGCTTTATTTTTTAATCGTCTGCCAATATAAATAGTTTACTAAATTATCGAGATTGTTGGCCTAATGTATAGGCTATTAAGAATAAATACCTATGAAAACAAGGCGCCACCACACTGGGAAGACTATGTAGCACCAGGTTATGAATAGCAGAGGATCAAGGACAGAACCATGGAGTACAGAGCTGGTGACTGATCTCCATTCAAACTACGCCCCAATTATGCATTTTCACTTTAGTCCACAAACAATATTTCACCTTACAAACCTCAGATACCAAGGACAACACCAGTAATATCAAAAGCGCGAATTATACTAACAAATAAGCTTAGCGCTGTCTCTTTTTCAAAATTCTATATAATGAATGATTAATACCTCCTTCAACTAATGGTCGAGTTTATGCGGAACATGGATCACTAACAACATTAGATATACACAGTTCTCACGTGTGGAACCACCCGCGTACAGTCACATGAAGGCTGCACGCGACCTTATACATGCTACGCATAGCAGCCTACATGTAGACTAATATAAACAGTACTGTACACATATGTAAGCTAAGACTTACCTGTGTGGAGGAGATGAGCTGAGAGCAGCAACAAACACGGCCACACCATCGAGTTAGTACCCATGGTGTTGGTGGTGGTGATGGTGAACTACAACACCATACACACCGTCCTGGTGACAAACTGGGTTCACTGCACAACACACTCACAGCCTCGATGCACGGCCTCGCACGGTAACTGAATTACTCGCAAAAAGACTAGGATTGATCCTGAACGAAATAAGATTCACCGGATTAATTTCACTTTCACTGCTTAAACCATCTATAAAACGCATACGAATATGGCATACACTGGGGGCTAAATATTTCCAAGAATTGCACTAAATCAATTTATTTCACCACTTAGAATCTTTGTACGCACAAAATATTTATTGTTTAGAATTTTGCAACAATAATAAAGAAATAGAAACCAAACAGAATTCGAGTTATCACAGAACATAAAGGAACTACAGAATTATGACTTCAACTTTAATGCCATCACAATATATAAACCAAGCCACTGAATCCTCCGAACCAAACTTTAAACACAAATTCTCGTTCTACACGTATTTCACATTTTCTAATCGCTATCTCTATCAATCAATACATAATATGTCCCAAAAAACATTTTATTTAAGCTAGTTTTCTAAATAGCACAAAATCACACGATACACACAGTGAACGGGAGCGACAGCTCAACGCTCACACACCACTGGCCAGGACCAGACTGGTGAGCATCCACACACCCTGTCGTCTGCTCTCAGACCCTAGGCTCAGACACTAGCTGACGCCATAACATGTTTTTTTGTTTTACCAAAATATCAACCTTCAAATCGTTTTCATAAGACATTTCCGTTATATAACCAGATTTTTGTTTTTACTGTGGTGTATTAATAGGCATCATTCAAATTAGAGAGCCGTCTAGAGTAAAATCTCTTTATTTATATATCTTCCTGCACAAAATAAACGAGTCTACCCATTTCGCGCGCGTCGCGAGAGCCATACCGCCTGGTATCCATACACGAGTCATTACAAGGCGCACTCTTTATGAACATTTAATCAATCGTACTTCTGACACGCATTAATACGTGTGAACATTAGTTTGATTAATCAAATCCTTTATACTATGTATATATTTACCTACCAATGAATGAAGCGTCATATGCTATATATATATTTATTGGTTTTTGTTACGGGGCCTTGCTTACTTATTAAGTACGCAATATTAGATTAAATTAGACAAATATATTAGATTAATTAGGCTGGAGAGATAAAAATTGACTGTAGTATACGGCCTTTTGCATATAACACCCAACGAGTGAGGTTACTAGGTGATGTCACACTGTTCCTGACCCGTATCTAAGTGTTCCCGGGCCATATCTAAGTGTTCCCGGGCCATATCTAAGTGTTCCAGGGTCGTATCTAAGTGTTCCCGGGCCGTATCTAAGTGTTCCCGGGCCGTATCTAAGTGTTCCAGGGCCGTATCTAAGTGTTCCCGGGCCGTATCTAAGTGTTCCCGGGCCGTATCTAAGTGTTCCAGGGCCGTATCTAAGTCTTCCAGGGCCGTATCTAAGTCTTCCAGGGCCGTATCTAAGTGTTCCCGGGCCGTATCTAAGTGTTCCCGGGCCGTATCTAAGTGTTCCCGGGCCGTATCTAAGTGTTCCCGGGCCGTATCTAAGTGTTCCCGGGCCGTATCTAAGTGTTCCCGGGCCGTATCTAAGTGTTCCAGGGCCGTATCTAAGTGTTCCCGGGCCGTATCTAAGTGTTCCAGGGCCGTATATAAGTCTTCCAGGGTCGTATCTAGGTGTTTCCGGGCCGTATCTAAGTGTTCCAGGGCTGTATCTATGTTTTTTTCAGGGCTGTACCTAAATGTTTCATGGAGTGCGCGCGCATATGAATGTGATATTTACTGTTTTATATTTTATTTGTGCCTGCATGATTTTATATATATATATATATATATATATATATATATATATATATATATATATATATATATATATATATATATATATATAATATATGTGTGTGTGTGTAAATCACGAAAATTAACACGTGATGAAAAATGTGACAATGTCAGACCACGGAGGAAGAATTGAAACAGAAATTTCCTTAAGTACTTTCGTATTTAATAATATAATAATACTATAATATTATAATAATATTTAATAATAACACCTTTCTGAAGATGTATGATTAAATACGAAAGTACTTAAGTATAATTCTTGTTTCAATTCTTCCTCCTTGGTATGACACTGTCATATATATATATATATATATATATATATATATGGGGTACCACCTCTAGTTGCATTTATAGGTGACCCTTGGCTTCGAAGACGATATGTATCACACCTCTGGAAGGGGGTGGGGGGAGTAAACAGCTGGTGTGGGACTACACATTTATATATATATATATATATATATATATATATATATATATATATATATATATATAATATGAAGCAACCAGCTCAACACCCGTACCCATTTATTAGACTTTTACAGGAACTTCTTTTCCGAAGCTTTCAAAATGGAGGAAAGAGTCCTGAAAGATATTATTGATAAGAACGTTGTCCCCACAGACACCAATCAGAAGATACAATTAACAATATATTACAAAAACAAGATGACCGCCAACCTACTTATGAAGAACTTTCCGGACACCAAACAGAACACCTTAAGAGAAACCAACGTCGTCTATGCCTTCACATACCCACTTGGGGACAGTCAGCCCCAAAGATCTCAGTATATAGACAAAACCACAACGTCTCTAGTCGATTAACAATGCACAAGCAACAGGGCTCCATCAAGGAGCATATAATCTCCTCACACAATCAGACCATCACCAGAGACATCTTAACAAGCAACACAGAAATAATCGACAGGTATATAGACAACAGAAGACTCGACATCAGTGAGGCGCTACACATCAAAAAGTCAAGACCAGCAATCAACAACCAGTTAACACATAATTACATTCTGCACACTTCAAGACCCCGAGCCAATGCAGAGACAGGATCCAATGACTCTACCTTAAAAACACAAGCAGCTGCAAGAACATAAGCTGCGTATGTTGATGCATGTAATTCCCCATCAATATCCTCTGTGTTATGCTATTCATCCACTTGTTCTGTACCACCTCCCCTAAAGAGAATATAAGCCTGTGACAAAACTTGGTAAATTAGTCTCTGAGAATGAAAGGAGTGACCTTGCGAAATGCATTCCTAAACGGTATAATAACCTCACATAAATAAGCTGGGAATAACAACTAGAAAATGCAAACCTGAACTAAAACCTGGAAAAAATAGGCTCAGTAGCACTTGAAATATGCTCAAGCCACATACCCCTACGAAAAAAGAGGAAGAGGTGCAGATTGGAACGAGAACGTCGTTCCCTCTATAGACGAATAAAACGAATCACGGAACAACTTGAGAGTCACACCCTGTCTCTAGAACGACGAAGAAGGCTAGGTAGAGAAACAGAAATGATCGAACTAAAGCTACAAGAATCATACAAAACCCAGGAGAGGCAAAGAGGGAAAAAAGGCCATTAGTGAAATATAGAGAAATTCAAAATATTTTTTCTCCTATGCAAAATCATGATTAAAAAATCACACCTAGTATCGGGCCTTTGTGAAAAGATGGAATGTTCACTAATGACAACACAGAAATGAGCAAAATACTGAGGAATCACTTCGACTCTGTTTTCAGCAAGCAACTAAATACACTGAAGATTGATAATCCAAACGAATTTTTCATGGATGTGAAAACAATATCAAATCATATATCAGATATCACTCTATCCTCACTGGATTTTGAAGAAGCCATAGACAGTATGCCTATGCACCCTGCACCAGGCCCCGTTTCTTGGGACTATATTCATCAAGAGCTGTAAAAAACCACTATCGCAGGCCCTTCACATTCTTTGGAGACAGAGCCTAGATACTGGTGTTCACTCCTTAAAGGAGCAAATAAGGCAGAGGCAAAAAATTACGGAGCGATAACACTAAAAGGTCACCATGAAGATCGTATTTTAAAACTCCGAATATATGGAGCCACCTTTTAAAATGCTGAACAGTTTGGATAATATTGATCCAGTTAACAATATCAAAACGTTAGATGTAACACAAACAAGGAACAACGGTTGCAAGCTCAACAAGTCACATGTAGTGCAGAAAACAGAAAGTGCTATTTCACCCGTAGGCTCCAAAATCCATGGAACTGTCTACCCGCTGAAGGTGGTTAATGCCAAATCACTGCTACAATTCAAGATTCAGCTAGATAAAATATCAGGACAAATAGGGGGGACCATTGACAAGCTGCTGGCTTCCTATCCTCATCGAAGCCACTAGTGAGATAGTGACTCAGGTAAATTCATTAAACATTCCCAGGCAAATCAAGATTCTACAGGTCGAGGGTGTTACAATCTTACAAGAACAATAATAATAATTCCTTTAGTCGCAGAACAGGCAGCCTATGTACGTATATACGCTTGGCTGGGATCGAGGTGCCGCCCAAGTTCGAACTACTGACCCTCTCAAGGATGCAACTTCTCAGCAATTGACTACCTCTCTATTGTTAGGTGAACAGGCCCAATAGATGAAAGGAAATTTGTCCAGACATTTCTTTCACGCCTGAGATCCAAACCAGTGATTCTTAATTGTGAGTCGAGAACAAGATCAACTGTACTATGGACACCAAATAAAGCATTTCTTTACTTAATTTACTGGAAAGATAGCCGGATCCATTGGTGTAGGATCGGTTGTTATTTTTACTTTAGTATACCCAATTTTAATTTTCTATCTTCAACGGGTGAAATATCATAGAAGAAAACTTAGTCATGAAATGCAAACTATGATAAAATCATGACTGGAGATTGATAATGTTAATAATTCACTGTCGGGGGACAGGAAGCCAGAGAGTATTCATACACGTTTGGCTTTTATCGAGGTCTCCCCCCCCCCCAAGTCCGAATTATTGACCCCGCCCAGGATGCAACCCCCCCCCCAACAAGCTGACTAACTCCTGAGTACCTTCTCAGTGCTAGGTAAACATAAGCATTAGATGAAAGGCAATGTGCCCAACCATTTCTCTCCCGGCCGGGAATCGAACCCAGAATTCTCGATTATGCGTCGAGAACGAACCCTGACTGTACTACCGGGTCATGCTAACAATGGCCAAAACAATGATATGTTTTGAGTAAAGGCCTTAAATTCTTATTATAATCATTCGGCAGCTGGATTTATTTATTTATTATATAAGAGTTCTTACATTCTTGTACAGCCACTAGCACGCATATAGTTTCAGGCAAGTTCTTAATCCTAATATTCCCCGGAATACGACCAGCCAAATCGTTTAACAACAGGTACCCATTTTACTGTTGAGTAAATAAAGGCTTCAGATAAGGATTGGTGCCCAGTAAATCCTCCCTAGCCAGGATACAAACCCAGGCCAAAGCGCTCGCGAAACGCCAGGTGAGTGTCTTACCACTACGCCACGGGGACTGCATAATGATCCTTATTATGAATTTATATAATAATTTCCAAAGTTTTCAAACATTCAATGAATGTAATCTTTAAAACATTGCAAATAAAATTTTATTCCCCTTCATACATTTCAAGTCATACTTCATAAAGTTTCATACGATCATCGTCGACCCTTAATCATAACAACAATACTCCTCAATACTTCTGGTAGGCAGATATTTTTGACAAAAACGTCTTCCAGTGGTGCCGGGAAGAGCAGTAGCCTTA